ATATATATATATATATATATATATATATATATATATATATATATATATATATATATATATATATATATATATATATATATATATATATATATATAGTTGATCATGGGGGCACATAAATGTGTTTTTATATTTTGAACGAGTTCAAGAAACAATTCATCAACGATAATATAACATAAATTATTCACAGATATCGTAATTTAGAAATGAATTGTACCAAATAATTAAGTAAAAAATGTTGCGTAGGTGGTAAGTATGAAGACTATGTTTTGGGTATAAGAATTAGGAGGACATGCAAAGAAATTTTGGATAATTTATGCAGAAATGTCTGTGTAACATTGATAGCGTGACAATTGTGAGCTTAATGAAGTAAGGGCAAGCCAACATCATATTCCTACTAGGCATTGTTTGAGTCCCAAAATCTCTTATTACCATGACCTGCAGCTAATTTTGATAGGACATAAATATATAATTGCTCAGCATGCAAAGAACTAAGAAGTCATAATGTTAACCAAAAATTACTCACACTAGGAACAAGGTCTGAATCACTCTGAAGGAACTTTTATTCTTAGTAAACTCTTGAGTCTTATATATGTCAGAAACTATGATTGTCAATTTGGACAGCCACCTCTCTTTCACAAGACATTTTCATTCATTCTGGTCATCATGTTTCTGCAAGTAGGACTGAGTGTTGGGACTGGTAGTAGAATGATCACATCATATATATGGACCATCAGCCATTGTGGTAGCGCTTCCTCGACCTTTTCTGTGAAATTGCTTGCCAGTTTCTATGCACTACCGGTGTGCCAGAAATATGAAAATCTAATTAAATAGCTTAACGGATTAAGCTGCCATTGTGGTTGTTTTTCTAGTTTCAAGGACTCATTTTAGACATTACAAGTATATGACAATGGATTTGCTCTCATGGACACCTTCTATCATTGTCAACCTAGAAAATGGATTGTTGACTTACTGGCTTGACCTTGACTTAATGCTCATCCACACAGTAGAATGGACTAACAGACGAATGGAGGAGAGAGATCTGGTCACTCCATATTATATTACAAGTAGATACCTGCATTGTGATGCACCAGCAACCAGAACCCCAATCCATGGCTACAGACAATGTCTACGTTCTCTTCTTCTTATTGGCCTTCCTATGCATTCAACTGATAAAACCCAACGTCTGCGACGGAGCTCTAACCTCAGGCTGCATCCCTGCCGAAAGAAGTGCTCTACTTGAGTTCAAACGAGGCCTGAAAGATCCTACCAACAGGCTGTCCTCTTGGGTGGGTGAAGACTGCTGCAAATGGGAGGGTGTGGCGTGCAGCAATCATACTGGGCATGTCGTCAAGCTGGACCTCCAGAATCCGCATCCTTTCTCTGATTTTAGTGACGAGCCATACAACAACTGGACCTTAGGAGGTGAGTTGAGGCCTTCTTTACTTGGTCTGAAGCACCTAAAGTACCTGGACCTAAGCATGAACAATTTTGGAGGCATTAGTATTCCAGAATTCATGGGGTCATTCCATCAACTCCAATATCTTAACCTCTCCAGAGCTGGATTGGGTGGAGTCCTGCCTCACCAGCTGGGAAATCTCTCCGATCTGCAGTATCTAGACTTATACAATGACTTGGATCCCAATTTTGTGGTTCGGGTCCGTGAATTTAGCATTGGTGATGCACTCTGGATTTCTCACCTTTCTTCTCTAAAGCATCTCAACCTGAAGAGTGTTAACTTTCAAAATGGTACTCACTGGCTGGAAGCTCTGAACATGCTTCCTTCTATCGTGGAGATATACTTATCTCTCTGTGAAATTCCAAGTGTTCCCCTCTCTCTTCCGCATGTGAACTTTACATCACTATCTGTTCTTGATTTGTCCTATAATTTCATTAGCTCTACGATACCCTCTTGGTTATTCAACATAAGTGGCCTTGAGCATCTTGATCTCAGTGATAACTTATTTCAGGGTAATATTCCACCAGCCTTTGGTAACTTGGCTTCCCTCAAGGGCCTTAATTTAGCTAACAATTTTCGTCTTCAAGGAGGAATACCCACTTCCTTCAAAAATCTGTGCAAGTTGCAGAATTTAATATTGTCAGGCATCAATATCAGCAAAGATTTGTTAGAACTCGATGAAATTTTCTCTGGTTGCATCAAGATGAGCCTAGAGGTTCTAAGCTTAGCTAGAACGAATATTAGTGGGCAGTTGCCTGAATGGTTATTCCAACTAGCGTCACTCCAAGAGCTCTATCTTCATCGAAATCAACTGAATGGAACTATACCAGAAAGCTTGGGACAGCTGTCTCAGCTAGTTGTTTTGGACCTTTGGTACAACCATTTGGAGGGTGTAATGTCTGAGGCGCATTTTGGAAACCTCACAGAATTGAAATACTTAACTTTGTCGTCCAACTCCTTGGCTCTGAAGGTCAAGAGCAATTGGCTTCCTCCCTTCCGGCTAGAATCCCTTTGGATGGGCTCCTGCAAACTGGGTCCCGAGTTCCCTGCATGGCTCCAGTCGCAAATAAATATTTCAGAAATTGTTATGTCTAATGCTAGTATTATTGATGCTATGCCAAACTGGTTTTGGAGCTTAATTTCCACGGCAGTGTACGTGAGTGTCTCCGGCAATCAGATCAGTGGCCACGTACCCAATTTGTTGCATTTAAACAACCTCTACGGGTTGGATTTAAGTTCAAACTACTTCGAGGGTCCTCTTCCATATTTTCCTCCTGGATTGTCTTTATTAGATCTGTCAAACAATTCATTTTCAGGAACAATTTCACTTGCCATCATCATGAATATGCCTAACCTCGTATATTTATCGCTTTCGGAAAACAATTTAAGCGGTGAAATTCCCTTCTCTATATGCCAACTGCAGGTCTTGTGGATTCTTGATCTTTCAAAAAATATGTTGTCAGGAGAGCTCCCCAATTGCTGGAATAATTCTTCCCCAATTGAAGTTATGGATTTTTCAAGAAACAACATATCTGGAGTTATTCCTGAGTCGATATGTTCCTTAGTATCGCTTCAGTCGTTGCACTTGAGCAATAACAGTCTATCTGGAGAGCTGCCTTTGTCCTTGAAGGATTGTGGGAAATTAATCCTTCTTGATGCCGGACATAATGATTTGAAAGGTGAAATTCAAACCTGGATAGGTGAAAGTTTAACTAGTCTGCGGTTCCTCAATCTGCGATCAAATATGTTGGCCGGAGATGTTCCTCCAAATCTTTCAAGATTGAGTGCTCTCCAATTTCTCGACCTTGCAGATAATGAGCTATCGGGAACTATTCCAAGGAGCTTTGGAAATTTTACTGCCATGAAAGTAATTGAAAATTTTTCGAGTTGGAGGACAGGTCAAATTAGATATAAGGAGCAGATGTTTATAACAACTAAAGGAAACACTCGAGCGTATGATGTGTCGCTTTCGCTTATCAATATCTTGGACCTCTCGGACAATAACTTATTTGGAGGAGTACCTGAAGAACTCACAAGTCTTTTTGGCTTATTCAGCTTAAATTTATCTGGAAACCATTTCACAGGAGAAATCATTGAAAATATCAGTAAATTACAACAGTTGGAGTCCCTTGACTTGTCAAGGAACAACTTTTCTGGCACAATTCCTTCGAGCCTCGCTGCCCTGACTTCTTTGGCTCACTTGAACCTCTCATACAACAACTTGTCAGGGGAAATTCCTCTTGGTAATCAACTTCTGACCTTCAATGATCCATCTATCTATATTGGCAATCCTGGTCTTTGTGGGTTTCCTCTGAATCAAAGTTGCAAAGACAATGAGACAGCACAAGGTCGAAGTAATGCAGATGACAGAGATGACAACGAGATGATATGGTTCTACATGAGCATGGCACCAGGATTTGTTGTTGGTTTCTGGGCAGTCTGGGGTACATTGATACTAAACAAGAATTGGAACCTTTACTACTTCAGATTTATAGACAATATACTTGACAAAGTGTATGTGTTCACCGTACTGAAAGTTTCTAGGATCAGAAAACGTTGTTGTTTCCAACAAGGATGATAAATTTGAACATCAATATATGCTGTATGAGAGTTCATCTCGTTAATATCATATCATCAGCTTGAATAAAATTTAATACTTCTGGACTTGTATACAAGTAAGTCATGCACTCTCAATTTTGATCATTTCTGTCAAGTTCGCAGTACCATATGAAGTGTTCTAATTCTGGGGACTGCCAAAAAGCTTGCACCTTTTAATTAGTTTTTCCAAAATAGACACCCCTTTTTTAGTTGTTCAGTTTGGCAGAAATGAAAGGAGGTTAAAACTTTTACGAAGATATAGATAGAATTTCTGCAGCTGCGACAGATGGAGCTGTTTAATATGATCTACTCATGTAATGATCCTCTTGTGTTTGAGATGCTTGTCTTCATCAATCAAATACATATTGGATGCATCATAAGCTCAAGTCCACCAAATGTGCAGCTGCTTGATCATCTTGGATCTCATGCTCAGATCTTTTCACTTGATGAGTCTCCCATTAATGGGGGACATGCTGCTGCAGATGATGGAATTGGGCCGAAGAGGCTTTCACACGCATGTCAATGTGACAAGGATGATCTGTGCATGCAGGAATAATCCATTTATGATATACAGAGTGTGGCCCCTCTCTGAGCCGCTCACATTGAATTTTGCCATGGATTCTGTGTTATGACTCGGGATGTAGACGAGCTTCATTTGATTACCTGTTGCCATTAGCACTCAAACGTAAGCAAAGTTCATAGGAATGTAATTCTTGGTTCAAACTGTTTTGTAGACGCAAAACAAAGAAGAGGTGTTACATCAACATTTTCTTATGGATCTAATTATCACCCTCCATAAATAAGAGTGATTAAGATCAGGAGTGAATCGAGATTAATAATTTTTCTAGTATCCAATAAATAAAAAATTATGTATTTTTATTTAATTATAGACATTATCTTGTACAAAACTCGAGAATTGATTTTAAATAATTGTTATTATTTTTGTAAATAAAAAGATCTATTGCTCAAAAGATAATGTGTTATTTATAGAAATGTAAGTTTGACTAGAAATCCCACCACGAGAGATTTCTTGAAATATATTAAAAATTAATTATTTTGATCATCTTGGCTAAACAAAAAAATGTTGGTAAAAGGAAAACTTAGGTACTAAGATATCAAGTTGGTATCATCAGCAAGAATTGTATAAATTAGAGAGTCCAATTGATATAGATGAGAAGGTATGACATGAGAAGATTATTAATATGGTTTAATTGTTAATAATTCATAAATACTAGGTCGTATTTAATATTATTTCTTAATTTATAAATGTCATCGGCTCATGTTAATCTTTTCTGTATCGTTCTAATTTTATTGGATGTTTCTAGGTTATGCTGGGCTTTGACGAAGATATCAAGTGAAAAAGTTTATAATATCTTGATTTATAGAGTAGACATAATTAAGATTGATTTATAAAGATATGATGGACTTACTATTATTAATTTTAACTTAAACACTTTAATCAATGGTTTAAGTTTTAATAGCTCATTAGTTTGTTAAGAGTATCGACACAATGACAGGGAGATACATGATTAAGCTAGTCTCACACAATGATAGAGTGATGCATGGTTAATCCCTTTATGCAAGATTTACTTTTTTAACATGAGATGATCATTGTTTTCTTTGTTTTTCATGAGTAAAGTTAGCATGTTCTCGAAGATAAAAGAAAAAAAAATTGACACGACAAGAGAGGAATGGTAGCAACAGATTCTGAACACAAACTAAGATTCAAAGATGATGCAACCTTGCTGTTGCAAAAGTAGATGAGTAACTTGGCTCTGATAGCTGGAATTGAAGGTCTTCCTTCCTCTTGTTCTGCTCAGTTGCATTATCATGTCAATTTCCAGGAGAGTTTCCCAGCGACTGCTGATCGCTGTCTTCTTGGTGACCACAAATCTTGTCTTTCTTTTATTCGTGTTAATAATGGTTGTCTGATAGCTACAAATTTCTCCTATTTAGCAGTTCTTAGGAAATTCTCAAAACCTTCACATTCAAGAAGATGCTGGAGTCTTTAGATGAAAGCTATTCCAACTTTGGGACTCGTCAAAATCAGAAGTCATAGTTGACTGACTTGAGGATAGACAACAATATGAAATGAAGAACAAGTGCATGATATTGGCAGACAGCCTAATTGTTGAAGGTTTCTTGGTCTACTCTTTGAATCCGTCAGTTGAGTAGTTTCAGACTAACGGAGGATGATCCAAACAGGGCATGATAATAATATTTTGTGTATTGCAAGCTGTCCACCGCAGATTTCTCATGATTAATCTTAAGATAAGCTGCGTATTTTTATTATCTGTAATCTAAGATAATTGTGTTGGTGTGAGATGATCCACTTTGATCAAGTACACAATTTCCCTCCCAATCGATGGAATCATGGTTGTGGTAATAATTGTTTTCAGGTGTATGCAAAAAGGCAAATCTACCTGTTCTGTGAAATTTCTTGCCAGTTTCTATGCACTACCGGTGCCAGAAATATGAAAATCTAATTAAATACCTTGACGAATTAAGCTGCCATTATGGTTGTTTTTCTAGTTTCTTGGACTCGTTTTAGACATTACAAGTGTATGACACTGGATTTGCTCAGTAGAACATCATGGACGACCTTCTATCATTGTCAACCTAGAACATCG